TTCATTAACAAAATAATGAAAAATTAGGGTGATTTTGCAGTTTTTGTAACAAAATAATATAAATTTAGGGTGAGTTGACAGTTTTCCTTACAAAATAATATAAATTTAGGATAAGTTGACAGTTTTCGTCACAAAATAATGCTACTGTAAAGTTAGGTTTAGTTAATAGTTTTCATTACAAAATATTGTAAATTTTTAGGAAGTTAACAATTGTTTGGTTGAATACACAGTTTTCATCCCCCCTTGTGGCTGAGGGGTTGCCTTCTGAGGCATCAGAATTGCAGCCATTGTTTAATTTTTTCCCTGCTTGATCATAAGTGGTGACTATATGAGTATGGTATAAAATAATGGAATCTTTGCAATCTTAGCTTGAGCGTGTGAGGTTGTTTTGACCCCTTGTGTTGCTTTTAATTTGTAACATCGGAGGTTAGCCAAAATCATCTTTCCTGTTTTGGCGCCATATGACCTAAATTGTGACTATGCACTGTTTAACCAAACAAAACAAACAATTTTTATTCACTGATAGGTAGAAACTATTAGACTGTTTTCTGATCAAATTGAATTTAGGATGAGTGAATTTGTTTTAATTTACAATATAAAGGTGTTTCATTTATGTAATGTTATTGTCATCTATGATAAATGGAAAATGTTAATAATATAAATGTATTTTCAGAATTGAAATAGGAACAAATACAGCCATTCAGGTGTGCTTGATTCAAGTTCCAGCTTTGATTCTCATCAATCTAATATATGTAAGTTTTCTGGGTTTTTTTAGTGTATAAAACTATATTTGGATGTCTGTTATCAGCAATACCTAAGGGTTTAAATTGAAAGAATAATGTTTGTCAGTTTTTGTTCCCCCACTATTGGGGGTATTTAAATTTACCCTTGTCCGTCAGTTCGTTCACATGTTGTGTCGAACATAACTCAGAAATATTTGACCTAGAGTCATGAAACTTTACAAGAATGTTAGTCAGTTATTGCCCTTGACTGAATAAATATTTGCAATTTTCAACTTGTGTCGTACATAGCTCAAAAAGTATTTGACCTAGAGTCATGAAACTTTACAGGAATGTTGCTCAGCATGTGAAGTTGTGCACCTGGGGTTTTGTTTGTGGATATATCCACCATTTCTATAGATTTTGCCCTTGACTTAGTAAAAATTTGCAATTTTCAACTTGGGTCATGTGAAGCTCAAAAAGTGTTTGACCTAAAGTCATGAAACTTTACAGAAATGTTAGTTGGTATGTGAAGTTTTGCACCTGGGGGTTTGATTGTGGATTTATTCTGTATTTAAAGAGTAATTGCCCTTGACTTAGTAAGAGATTTTTAATTTTCATCATGTGTCACGTGTAGCCAAAAAAAAAAATTTGACCTAGTCATAAGATAGACTACATTGAAGTGTGGGGGCATCGTGACATATTTCTAGTTAATTATTCTACTGCTGAGTCCACTTAAATTACTTACATTCACACTGACCTATTGAATTTAAGTGTAAAAAAATGATTACCTTTGATATGAATAATGTTTGCTACTATGGTAATGATATAAATTTACAATAGAAATTGAATTAATGTAAATGTATATGTTGTATATTTCAGCCAATGAATTTTGTCCTTGTATTTAATGATGTTCATCTATGGGCTGTGATTTTCTCTGTGATTGTTATCAACTATATCTTTCAAGATGGGAAAAGTGATTACTTCCAAGGTATGGTCTTTACTATAACTCAGGTTTATTTTAAATTTTAGCAAGCTTCCTGAAGGGATATGAGTCTGCTTAGTAGCCCATTTATTAAATTATGCAGAAAGGGGCATCCAAGGACTACCTCTTGCTTTTGAAGTGTGACAAAATGCCATGTTGGGGTGATTTAAAACCCAACAAAATAAGAAGAAACTTAATCTGAGGTATAACTGAAGTACTTCAATAAATAAGACTTAAAAAACAAGGAATAAGGAAAGGTTTCAAAAATAAACAACAATACTTGTCAAGTATTAATTCATTGTAGTTTATTGTCTTTTTGCAAAAAAACACAACACAAAAATTTGTTGATGAAAAAAATTGGCAAAAATGAATAATCACGTGATTCAAATACAATACTGAAATTAATTTTCTTGTATCTGGTTTGAGATTAACATTTTATTAGATCTAGGTAGACATTAAAACCCTTACTAACTGAACAAAGGTGGCAATTGAATTAACCCATGTGACCAGTGCAGACCAAGATCAGACATTTGTTCCCTAGATTAACTATTCATTCAGTCCATATTTTGAAAATTTCTCTTGTGATGAGAGGTTCTCATTCAAAATACAAAACGAGCAAGTCACTTTAATATATATGATGTGTGGTTGCGTTAGAAACATTTAAATGAGCAGACACTATAGTTATTTTTGTTTTATATATTTCAGGTTCAGCATTGGTGTCAATATATGTGATCCTGTTATGTATGTATTTCTTCGTGCCTACTCCAGAAAGTGCCAAATGTTGATATTTTTGGTGGAATACTAGTTTAAAAAATCTGCATCTGGGCAACAATCAACTATAGAATTCTACACAAAAAAAACCCATGCAGTTTGTACAATTCCGGCCTTCTTTATCAGCCAATGATTTAAAAGGAGTCCACCGTTGTTCCTCATTAATCAAAGAAAAAAAACAACGATGCTGCCTCTAATAAACAACATATGAGCCGTGTCACGACAAAACCAACATAATGCGTTTGCGACCAGCATGGATCCAGACCAGCCTGCGCATCCGCGCAGTCTGATCAGGATCCATGCTGTTCGCTATCAGTTTCTCTACTTGTAATAGAGTTGGTAAGCGAACAGCATGGATCCTGATCAGACTGCGCGGAAGCGCAGGCTGGTCTGGATCCATGCTGGTCGCAAACGCATTATGTTGGTTTTGTCGTGACACGGCTCAATTATAGTTTATATGGTTTTGTGTGTTGTTTTTTGTCAGCCAAACATCAAAATGATACAAGTACAGATCAGTTACTTGAAACTTTTCGTATTACAATCTACAAATAAGAAACTCTAAATTGCTTGAATTACATTATTTAAAAAAAACAACAACAAAAAACACAATAAACAGTTGGATGGATTTATGTGTTGTTGCATAGATTCAGATTTCATGGCATTATAAATATCTCATATAGATTTTGAAATTATGTTTAACATTTAAAATCATATTCATGCTGCTGTGCAGTTGTGAATTACATTGTTTAACTCATTATTATTATAACACATTGTTTTAAACATCTGTTGATCTTATATTTTTGTTTTGTTGACTTAACCTTTTACCCCTTTAGCATATTGCGAAAAATGGCCATTTTCATTGAAAAGCCTCCTGTAACAAGTTCAAACTGCTATGAAACTATGAAAAAAGCTTCAATACTGATGAAACTTGGCACAAATGTTGACTACACCATAGCCTCTGTAACATCATGCTCAATTGTAAATTTCCTGTAACCATGGCAATGGGGGGACGTCTCAAAATTGCCAAAAATCACTATTTTGCATTGTTTTTTTCCATCAAAACTGATTTCAAAGTGCTGCAACTTCTCAATGAATTGAGATAGAGTAAAAGGCTTTTCATCGTCGGTTACTAGTTACCCTAAGATCGACCTGAGGCCATTTTTAGCCTGTCACATGTCCAAAATTTTCTTGGCGATGAGGGGGACTCCGCCCCCTTCATTGATGGGGAACAGGGCCGAAAAAGTGGTCACTTTTTTTAACATCATTTCTCAAACGAAAACCAGTGTTTGGGGCCTAAATAGGGCATTTTTTCACTGTTTGAGGCCTCAAAAAGGGGGGAGGGGGGCAAAAAGAAACACGCTTATATTAGGGAAAAGGTTAACATACAATAATATGATACATTTTTTTTTCACTTGGCTTCCATATTGATATTTAGTTAACATTTTGCATGCAAGTTCTGTCAAGGCTATATCTCTCATGGTCATTCAAATTTCATATATGCTTTCCAATGATCAAACCTTAAAGAAATTGCCACAACTCAAGTCTGCATGAAAAAAGGAGTGAATAATTTTATATTTAAGGCAATTTAAGTTATGCACACAAATTGTATTTTCATGAAAGATGAAGATATCCATTTGAAAGTTTACAAATGTCTACAGCCAAGGGATACTAAGTCACTTATCAAGACTCATAGCTCTAACATAGATTTTTACTTAGTAATTCCCCTTTTTGAAAAGTTCATACATCATCATGCTATGGTAAAAATTGATTGTACTGTCCCTGGAAACTTCTTGTTACTTACTGTCAAGCAAAATTTGAATAAATCATTATTTTCTCTGAAAATACATTAAGTATCATATAGGTGTTTCTATATATATGTACCAGGTTTGTTGTTTTGTTACACATGTAAATTGTCTTCCCAATTTATCATCAAAAGTACCTCAATTATTGTCAAGGGTATAATGAAACATTGTTGTAATTTACATTCGTTTTTTAGCCCATGTCCAATTATATTTGTAGAATGGAATTGTCCAGCTTTGAATTTGGATAAGTTCATTGTTAATATGAGGAATTTTGGTATTAAAATAAAATGTATGTCCTAATAGAAGAGCATGGCTAGTAAGCCCGGGAAATGCTACTGATCTAGCTTTATACTGGTGGCCAAGGTCTATTGTTATCATCTTTAGCTATTGTTACCATCTTTAGCAATTTTGCCATCTAAAGCTATTGTTATCATATTTAGCTATTGTTATCTCCTTCAGCTATTGTTACCATCTTTAGCTATTGTTACCATCTTTAGCTATTGTTACCATCTTTAGCTATTTTACCATCTTTAGCTATTTTACCATCTAAAGCTATTGTTATCATATTTAGCTATTGTTATTCTCCTTTAGCTATTGTTACCATCTTTAGCTATTGTTACCATCTTTACCTATTGTTATCATCTTTAGCTATTGTTATCATCTTTAGCTATTGTTACCATCTTTAGCTATTGTTACCATCTTTAGCAATTTTGCCATCTAAAGCTATTGTTATCATATTTAGCTATTGTTATCTCCTTCAGCTATTGTTACCATCTTTAGCTATTGTTACCATCTTTAGCTATTGTTACCATCTTTAGCTATTTTACCATCTTTAGCTATTTTACCATCTAAAGCTATTGTTATCATATTTAGCTATTGTTATCTCCTTTAGCTATTGTTACCATCTTTAGCTATTGTTACCATCTTTACCTATTGTTATCATCTTTAGCTATTGTTATCATCTTTAGCTATTGTTACCATCTTTAGCTATTGTTACCATCTTTAGCTATTGTTATAATCTAAAGCTATTGTTAATGTCAATAGCTATTGTTGTCATCTTTAGGTTTAAAGAGTTAAATTTATAGAGTTAAACTGACGTTTAAGAAATGGACTCCATTTATCTTATGTGATATATTTTCTTATACCTCTTCATATTTTTAGTTGATCACTTGGTATATATATACATGTATGCATGATTTATAAAGAAAGCATAACAAACAGATTATATGAGCCGTGCCATGACAAAACCAACATAATGGGTTTGCGACCAGCATGGATCCAGACCAGCCTGCGCATCCGCGCAGTCTGATCAGGATCCATGCTGTTCGCTATCGGTTTCTTTACTTGTCATAGAGTTTGTAAGCAAACAGCATGGATCCTGATCAGACTGCGCGGATGCGCAGGCTGGTCTGGATCCATGCTGGTTGCAAACCCATTATGTTGGTTTTGTCATGTCACGGCTCATATTTTTATTTTGATTGTTTTATGAGAAGTGACTGTGATTATTTCTTGAATAAAAAAAGTGAGTGGAATTGTTGTTCTGTTGTGTTTATGATATAAAATATTGTATACATGCTCGAAATAATATTATAGTTCTGAAATACATTATATAACCTTGACTTTGTGAGTTCAGAGTCCAAGGTTTTAAGGACATTTACTCAGATGTCAGGTATTTAATTGGTCAGAAACCGGCACAGAACGTGCATCAACCAATGAAAATACAGACGGGGCTAGGTTTTAAATGTAAAGTATTTTTTTACCATAACAATTTGTCAAGGTCATTTATAGGTCATGATGATAATTAGTTGTTAATACACCAATTGAAAATAATTGTAGGCGTCCATTTTATGGGGATGATAATTGATTATAATAATGAATAACAAGAATGGGAAAAAAAAGCATTAAAAAGATAACAATGATGCTAATAAAATCGGTACTTTATATAAAAGCATAAAACTGATTTTGATGTAATCTCATTTTGAAATGGTTATACATGTAATTATAATTAAATAGAAAAACACAATCGTATATCTCCTTGGGCAATTTAATGTTTTAATGTAAGTTTTGAACTTTCTATTATTTTCTTTAAATAATATCAAATGTATATAGACATGTAATTGTGTGTGGGTCATATACAAATGTAGCTTACCTTTGAAGTGTACTTTTACTTTTGGAGTGTACTTTTACTTTTGAAGTGTACTTTTTTACAAATATGGATTACATTTTCCTAGTTTTGCTTCTCTTAGGTTTGTTTTACACTTATTTGGATTAACCTCTTTTAAGTTCAAGGCTGATTATAATGAAAACTTGAAGCTTATTTAAAGCGTTCCCAGAACTAATAAGTTAAGAAAAATGGTTGCGACCAGGTTTGACTTTGAACCCTTGATCTCTGATATTTTGAAATAACACTTTTTTTGATATATAGAAAAAAAACTGATTTTAAAGTTTTATATCACCATCTTTGGAACATTTCAATTATTTTAATTTAATTTTTTATCTCATTATACATTATACATGTACATGTATACTAATAATCAACCCTTAACCTGCTGGAACCGGAAGTGATTAGCCTTTGCCATCAGTATACAGTCAGGCCAGGATGCTTATCATTGTTCTATTATGTTCATAGCTATATTCTTGTATTTTGTTATTGAAAACCCTTCAGCTTTGAATGGACTTCCCCAAATTAAAGCAGTGCCCAAATTTAAAACAGTCCCCAAAATTTAAAGGGTGCCCAAAATTTAAAACAGGTCCCCAAACAAAGTATTTTATGAAAATACATTAATTGGAAAAGAGTAAAAAAAAGGAAAAAGAATATTTTTCTGAAAGGTAAAGTAAGTATTCTTTTTAATTTTTCACTTTAAACACAGTTAAAAAATTTCTGTATAAAAAATATAGAGGATTGGTAATTCTAAGAAATTGCATGTAAATTTCAAAATTATTACATCTGTTTAGAGCTAATACCTTAAATTTCATAGAACATTCAATGGTGCGGAATTAGACTGTCTTTGCCAAGGAGGCGGGGTGAATATTTTTTAAACAAGCCTAAATTTCTGGATTAAAAAAATACAAAGTCTTTTAATTCGTCAAAACTTAACTTTTATTTTACAGGTTTCATAGCTGTTGTAAGTAGCGGACGGGTCGCTGATCGAATAAAGGGTCCAGGAACACTTGAAACAGAGCCCGGTGAATTTCCATATTTTGTGAATATCGTTGACAAGTGGTCGAAAGAGCTGATTGGGTCCGGTATACTTCTACAATCCCGGGTCGTTCTTACATGTGGTTACCATTACATTGATAAAAGGTTGATGAAATTTTAACATTTTTTTTTTCACAATGCTCACTCTTTAAACAGAATAACATTCGTTCATTTAACATTGGCACGATTATGTTTCTTTTTTGCCTCAAACATTCAAACAAAGTACTTCAACTATTTATTTGCTGATGTAATTTTTATGATGAATATATCCAATAGCGTTTTCATGCTCAAAAACAAACAATTTTATTTTAATGCTCAAAAACTAACATTCCCGCTTTCATGTTCAAAAACTATCGATCCCGCTTTCATGTTCAAAAACTAACGATCCCGCTTTCATGTTCAAAAACTAACGATCCCGCTTTCATGCTCAAAAACTAACGATCCCGCTTTCATGCTCAAAAACTAACGATCCAGCTTTCATGCTCAAAAACTAACGATCCCGCTTTCATTTTCAAAAACTAACGATCCCGCTTTCATGCTCAAAAACTAACGATCCCGCTTTCATGCTCAAAAACTAACAAACCCGGTTTTATGCTCAAATACGAGCAATCACATTTTCAATGTTAGTGTGTTCTCCTTTAAGACTAACATTTACGTTTTCATGCTTAAAGATCAACATTCACTCTAAGATATCACTCTACACGTATAATGATTTGTCAATGTGTAAATGTTTTATTATGCAAAAGTGGTTTTGTAAGGTCAGTATAAGAAGTCCCAAATATTTGGACAGGAAGAATAAATAGGGATCACCCTTATTTTGGGGGGCCCAAAAAAGGAATATAAAACAGTTTATGTTTTTAGCTCACCTGTCACAAAGTGACAGGGTGAGCTTTTGTGATCGCTTTTTGTCCGGCGTCCGTCCGTCCGTCGTCCGTCCGTAAACTTTTGCTTTAAATGACATCTCCTCATTAACCACTGAGCCAATTTCATCCAAACTTCACAGGAATGTTCCTTTGGTGGTCACCTTTAAAAATTGTTCAAAGAATTTAATTCCATGCAGAACTCTGGTTGCCATGGCAACCGAAAGAAAAATCTTTAAATATCTTCTTTTAAACAACCCTAAGAGCTAGAGCTTAGATATTTGGCATGAAACATCTTCTAGTGGGTGTCTACCAAGTTTGTTCAAATAAAAGCCCTGGGGTCAAAATTGGCCCCGCCCCAGGGGGTCATTGATTTTCCCTATATGCATAAAGTAAAAACTTAAAAAATCTTCTTTTAAAGAACCCAAAGAGCTAGAGCTTAGATATTTGGCATGAAATATCTTCTAGTTAGTGTCTACCAAGTTTGTTCAAATAAAAGCCCTGGGGTCAAAATTGGCCCCGCCCCGGGGGGTCATTGATTTTCCCTATATGCATATAGTAAAACCTTAAAAAATCTACTTTTAAAGAACCATAAGAGCTAGAGCTTAGATATTTGGCATGAAACATCTTCTAGTGAATGTCTACCAAGTTTGTTCAAATAAAAGCCCTGGGGTCAAAATTGGCCCCGCCCTGGGGGGTCATTGATTTTCCCTATATGCATATAGTAAAAACTTAAAAAATCTTCTTTTAAAGAACCCAAAGAGCTAGAGCTAAGATATTTAGCATGAACCATGTTCTAATGGGTGTCTACCAAGTTTGTTCAAATAAAAGCCCTAGGGTCAAAATTGGCCCCGCCAGAAGGGGGTCATTGATTTTCCCTATATGCATGTAGTAAAAAGTTATAAAATCTTCTTTTAAAGAACCCTAAAAGCTAGAGCTTAGATGTTTGGCATGAAACATCTTCTAGTGAATATCTACAAAGTTTGTTCAAATAAAAGCCCTGGGGTCAAAATTGGCCCCGCCCCAGGGGGTCATTGATTTTCCCTAAATGCATATAGTAAAAGCTTAAAAAATCTTATTTTAAAGAACCCAAAGAGCTAGAGCTAAGATATTAAGCATGAAACATCTTCTAGTGAGTGTCTACCACGTTTGTTCAAATTAAAGCCCTGGGGTCAAAATTGGCCCCGCCCCTGGGGGTCATTGATTTTCCCTATATGCATATAGTAAAAACTTAAAAAATCTTCTTTTAAAGAACCATTAGAGCTAGAGCTTAGATATTTGGCATGAAACATCTTCTATAGTGAATGTCTACCAAGTTTGTTCAAATAAAAGCCCTGGGGTCAAAATTGAACCCGCCCGCAGGGGTTATTGATTTTCCCTATATGTATATAGTAAAAAACTTAAAAAATCTTCTTTTAAAGAACTCAAAGAGCTAGAGCTAAGATATTTAGCATGAAACATGTTCTAATGGGTGTCTACCAAGTATGTTCAAATAAAAGCCCTGGGGTCAAAACTGGCCCCGCCCGGGGGTCATTGATTTTCCTTATATGTGTATAGCAAAAAAAACTTAAAAAAATCTTTCTTTGAAAAAACCTAAATAAGCTAGAGTTTAAATATTAAGCATGAAACATCTTAAGTAAATATCTACAAAGTTTGTTCAAAAAAAAAAGCCTGGGGTCAAAACTAGCCCTGCCCCAGGGGGTCATTGTTTTTTAACTTATATGTGTATAGTAAAAACTTTAAAAAAATTTCTTTAAAAATCCCAAATGAGCTAGAACTTAGATGTTTAGCATGAAACATCTTCTTATGGGTGTCTACCAAGTCTGTTCAAATAAACAAATAAAAGCCCCTTGGGTAAAATTGGCCGGGGGTGGGGGGGGGGGACCCCCTTATATACAGGTGAGCGACCTCAGGGCCATCATGGCCCTCTTGTTTACATTTGCAGTTTCACAGTACTAGAAATATAACATTTGCCAGAGTTTACAGAGCTAAATATATAAAATTGTTCATATTTTACAATGCTAGAAATACATGTTTGTAATAATTCATAGAAAAATACTTGTAAAGTAATTCATAGCTTATGGTTCCATAAATGTAAAAGCATTCATATTTTACAGTGCAAGAAATATCAGATCCTTCATATTTTACAGTGCTAGAAATATGCAAATCATTCATATTTTACAGTGCCAGTAATATCAAATCATTCATATTTTACAGCTCTAGAAATATGCAAATCATTCATATTTTACAGTGCTAGGAATATGCAAATCATTCATATTTTACAGTGCAAGTAATATATAAATTAATCATTCATATTTCTCAGTGCCAGTAATATCAAATAACTCATATTTTACAGTGCTAGAAATATGCAAATTAATCCTTCATAAATTACAGTGCCAGAAATATGCAAATTAATCATTCATGTTTTACAGTGCCAGTAAAATCAAATCCTTCATATTTTACAGTGTTAGGAATATGAAATCATTCGTATTTTAAATGCTAGAAATATCAAATAATTCATATTTTACAGTGCCAAAAATATCAAATCATTCATATTTTACAGTGCCAGAAATATCAAATCATTCATATTTTAAATGCCAGAAATATCAAATCATTCATATTTTAAATGCTAGAAATATCAAATAATTCATATTTTACAGTGCCAGAAATATCAAATCATTCATATTTTACAGTGCCAGAAATATCAAATCATTCATATTTTAAATGCCAGAAATATCAAATCATTCATATTTTACAGTGCCAGAAATATCAAATCATTATTATTTTACAGTGCCAGAAATATCACATCATTCATATTTTAAATGCTAGAAATATCAAATCATTCATATTTTACAGTGCTAAAAATATCAGATCATTCATAATTTACAGTGCTAGAAATTTAAAATCATTCATATTATAGTAGTGCTAGAAATTTAAAATCATTCAAAATGTCTGGTACTAAAACATTAAATACTGGTAAACCATATCTTACAGAGCATTCTTCCTTGAAGTGATTCTCGGTGAATACGACAGAGCTAATGATACTGAAGAATCTAAACAAGTCATGGAAGTGTCAAAAGTTCTACTTGTAAGTTTCATACTTTTAGCTTCGTTCCTTAAGATGAGCCAAAATATTTCAAAAAACTAAAAAAACTAAGATTTTAAGCAAAGTAAATAGATTCAAGATTCAAGTAATAATTTACATTTTATGTACAATTGACTGATTTTGCAGTAGTAATTACCATATTTCTACTGCCTGACTAACACAGTAAGTGTTATTTTTGCATATTTTGACCTCTTTTATTTTGATTTCTGTTTTGTTTAATTTCATTGCTTAAGTTCTGTGTAGAAGTACTCAACACTGAATTTCTTCTTTCTTTTGGACACAATTAGCCAAACAAGTGATCAAATAAGGGCATCTGGTTTTGGTTTAATATATGTGTTGTTAATGTTTTGGAAATATTTCTAAAGTTTTTTTAGTATTGATTCAATAAATAGTCAAAGCATTAAAACTTAAGACTAAATCACTAACTCAACAAATGTTGAAAACATATGATTAAATTGAATTACAAATTATCTTAAATTGTGAAAAATGTATCTTTAGCGAAAGTTTACCTTTTTCTTTGACAGTTTCCGTTTGTTTCCGCCACAAACGTGTTCAAGTAATGAAACTTTTTTTGCAGCACCCAAAATTAGATCCTACCAATGGAATTGAAGGGGATGTTGCTTTATTACAGCTTGAAAATGAGCCGGAACTAGGAGAAAGGGTCAAGGTAATTAACAGAGCTGTTCTTATATTATGTTCTTATTTGAATTATAATTGTAGGTCGGTGGAGATGGTAGTGCGCGGGACTTGAAATAAAAAAGTCAAAATAAGTGAAGAGAGAGTTGTGTAAATGGAAGGTCGGAATGCTTAAAAGCTACACTGAACTGAAATTTGTGTTTTTATTTAAAGAAAACGAGAAACATTTATTATTACTTGAACGTTAAATTGCACACCTTGTTCTAAACCTTTTTTTTCTTCAAAAAAACTTAGAATATAACAAAAAAGAAATTATCTGAGAATAAATGAGTTGAATACAATGTGTGATAACATGTTAATATTATAATATTATTCTGATCATCATTCTTGTCTTTCATTTCAGACGTTCGGTCTACAAAATTTAGCTAAATCTTCAAAGGAAGACAAGAACATTCATAAGAAAAAAGGCGCGTGCATAGTTCCGGGATATGGCTTCATTAAATGGGATAAATGTAATTTGTCAATTCTTAAATAATTTATGCAATAAATGCCGGGTTTGATACCTCACTATCTTTATCAACTTAATCAATTTTTTTCTTCATACATGTTGGTCTATATTTTTTCAAAATTGCATCGATCTCACTTTCTGCCCAACAAGATTGCGCATGCGCTAAATATTATCTTCCGTTGCTAGGAATTTTTATTAATGTAAACAAATTTATACTTTCCTCATGTTTAAGATTGCAACAATAAAAACCCTGGTCTTTCACTGTTCTCCCAATTTTATGTCTATTAAAAATCTTCTTGCAATCTATATATTTTGCAAGTGTTGACTTAATTTGTGAATTCAAATATACAAACTGGTCTTTTAAATTCTTTAAGTATACCTGATGCTGCTGAGTATCTCAAATATAAAGAACTTAACTAAGAGTGACCCCTACTGTCCTTCATAGAACGGAGATTTAATAAAAGCTTTGCACGTCTAGAAGTTAAAAAACATCGCTATATTTGGGTTGTAAATCGCTAATATCCGGTTGTTTCAAAATGACTGGTACATTATCTATTTTAGTTCAGACGCTACTGCCCACAACTATGAGGAAGTACAGTCCAGCCATGCTAAAACCTTCAGTTTGCACTGGCGGTGAATACTTTAAGAAACTGTTTTTATGTGCTTTTAACCAAGACTTGACAAACACATGCAAGGTAAATAGTAGCTCTGACAAGCCTTTAAAAGTAACATTGGTATAGATGTATTTTCAAGGGTGTTAAATTGGATAGTAACTTTTTTTTAAAGAAATTTAGAATCTCATTTCATCTGAAAAGTAGGGTTGTCATGTTTATCCGTTTAAACAGGTAGGGTCAGTTAATAGTTCAAAACCGGTGACGAAACTCAGTAACAGAGGTTAGTATTAGACAAAGTGCCAATATAGTAACAGAACATAATATATAGAGCAAACAAGAGTATCAAAGCTAAGGCCCTGAATAACGTCACAGGCATTGAATGAAATAATAGTTTGGCTTACTTTGCACAGCCTAATTTGTCATTCTGGAGTGTTGGTATGATCCAAAAATACGCCTAAAGTCAACACTAAATATTTTTATGTTCTATTTTTAGTATGACGGTGGCACACCTTTGCTGTGCAAGAGTAAAGGAAAGACTAAACTGTACGGAGTGACGATGGGGGCTTTTGGATTTACCCAGTATTGTAACAGTGGCCAGTCACTGTTTACACGGATATCCACATACTATGATTGGATAAAAAAGAAAACTAGATCACTGCAAAATGAAAAGATTGAGGAATAATTTACTAATTTCAAGACAATGCATGTGTAACGATATTTTCAATGGACACTGCTTTTCATTTTTGCTCAAGCTCAACTCTATGGTTTTATTTACAAATAAAATGTGCTGTCTTTCGAATTTGCTCTTTTGCACTGTGTCCTACTAAATCCTTAGTTTTATGCAATTATTTTCCTTTAATTTAAAGACTTAAATAAATGATCGTTAAACAAATAAAACTTTTTTTCTACAGAATATGTTAAACATTATGTGTAAATCATAATAAACGCTTACTGCCATTTTTTTGCAGACATCAAGGGTAATGGGTAACTTGACCATTGCAAAAATGCCCAATAAACAATTTTTCACAACAAAAAAAATAGCATACAAAACAAACTTTTTTTCAAATGAAAACACAACATTATTTAAATATAAATCGATTTATTACATTGAATTTTTAAGCATATCATATAATCTTAAAAAAATGATTTTCAAAAAAAAAAATCTGATAAATAAAACAGCTTTCAACAAAGGATGTGAGTCAATGTATGGGTAAGTGCATTAAAGGACAACAGTCAATGAACTGGAACATACTGTCTACAGCTCCACTCTGTAGTGACACTTCCCATGAAGTTTCAATGTCCAGGACAATAAAATCTGGACGGATAAATGGACGGAAAAAAAACCAGCGAATTTATTCGCCCAATTAATTAATTCAATATTGGAAAGAACATAAATTTTACTGCAACCAGTGACATAATGTTTCTGATGCAGCATAGCTTTAAGTGAAAAATAAATCTGACTTATTCTAAAAAGATCACATTACTACATGCCTTCAAATGTATGCCAAAAGACAGTTCCCATAACAAACTGACATCATTGTCATCTAATTTATGTCACAATTGTGTGTCAAAAGCAAAAAGTAGCAACTTTTAGCTATGAAAAACACTATTTCCGGCGAGTGGTGCCAATCATGTTGTCACCTTAGTGCAGTAACAGGTTAACTCCTATAAAATTATATAAGGAGTTAACCTGTTAATGCACTAAGGTGATGATAATTGTATTCATCAGATAAATCATTTACCATGACCCTTGTTAGAATATCACAAAGTTAGTTCAGGGAAAAAATAATTTGCCCTGCTTTGAATTTGGAACTATTTGTAGCTATTATAAGATCACACTTCAAGGAAATGCAGGGCCAGTTGGGCCGATGGTGGGGGTGGTGGGAAAGACTGAACAGGCAGGCCATTACAGCCACTTACAATATATAGTTACAATGATATTTAATAAAATGTCTCGTTTATTTGCAACTAAACTTATCTAACACAATTACTACATTATGCAATGAAATATAATAAATCTCAATAAATATAACCAACATATAATGATTGAGTGACTTGGAAGTTTTGGTGAAATGTCCGAAAAAAGGTCATGTATCACATAACAGATTAAATAAATAAAAGTTTACATAAATCAACAACAGTTAAATAACTGAACAATAATTTACAATGTTTATATATAAATTACTAAAATATAAAATCAACAATATTTGTGTAAATACCTTGCATAACTAGTTTACAGATCCAATTTTAAAATAAATATAAATTAAAAACTAATAAATATAATAACAAAAAAAAAACAACAACAAAAAATTAAGAAATAAAATGAACTGATATAACTGCATTAACACATCTCAGAAATTATCATATTGACATTGACTCAGAAGCACTGAAGTGTATAAAACCTTCTTGTTTACACCATAGATAGTGTTTGTAGTCTGAACACAATAATATCAAAGTACATAAATTGAGATTGAAAAAAGGTACAAATCTAAAATAAATGCCCTTTACATGCACACTCAATTTTACTTAATTATTATAAATAAAATACACATTCAAGAGTTACTGCCCTTGATTTTGGAATAGGGTGTATACTGTAGTTACTGCCCTTTGATTTTCATTATTTATGTGATTATGAACAAGGCCCATAGCCTACAATGATTGCCCCTTGGTCTCCTTACACTTTAAATGATTGTGAGTAAGGTTGTGTACATGGATGTACATGCAAAACTAAAATCTGTAAAAAAAAAAATTATTTAAAGCAAATTTACCCTCCGACAGATTTGAACAAAATACACTATGCTAAAATGATTTTTGTTTGTTTGTTGGTGTTGTTTTACGTCCCACCAACACATAAGAGGCAATACCACCACTTTCTAGCTTTACTGGTGAAGGAGGACCTTAGACGCCCGTCTGTGTATTATTTAAGGCATAAATGGGTACCTGAATAGAACCACCAACATTCCTAAAGCTAGAGAGCTTCCTCAAATGCAAGAGTCCAAAGTCCCTGGTGGGATTCCAATCCACAGTGGTAAGAAGCAAGTGGTTTGAAGTGACCATAACCACTTAGCCACAGACTGTCAGCTTAAATTATAGGGTGATGATTTTGATTCTTGACAAGAGCTGTCTGTAGGACAGTGTGCTTGACTATGCTCAGTGCTTGATAGTAAAACCAAAAGTTTAGATAATGTAGACTTTTTTAAGTTCAAATATTGTTAAAATCCATGTTAAGAGTTATGTGCCTTGTACAGTGACCTCCTATTATATTCTCAAAAAAGTTGTGAAAAAAACACATTCCCTTCAGTAGCTTTTGGATATACCAACTTATCCACAAACAAACCTAACAACAGTGTTATGCCTACACCTGTAAGAGTAGAATTACTTTACTTATTCTTGAAATAATCGAGCTAAAAATACGAGGGTTGTTCGGGAAGTTCTGAGAATTTTGTCATATCTCCTATATTTTTCGTTTCTAAGACGTAATATTTTGCACATACTAAAATTAGCATATCACGGAACTATTCCTAAAAATTGAATAGAATCAGACAACAATAGTCGGAAATAGCAGTAACCATAGCAACACTATAACGCCGCACCGGAGCAGTCCGACTCTAAAGAAAGGTATAACGCGCTACACTTATAAAATTTCGTAATTTTGATAACGTAAAAAATGCGCGAAAACGCTGGTCAGCAGCGGAACGTCATGACGTCATTTCCTGAAAATATCATAACTATATTTAAATTCTCAACAGATCAACATTGTTTTAAAGTTGTTGCCCAGAGCCACTGAGTAAACAACATGACATCGATAGGTGACGTTGAATTGCGAAGCATCGTGAAATTTTGTGTTGCGCTGGAAAAGTCTTCCACAGAAACAATGAAAATGATCAATTCTACAGGAAAATACAAGAAAAGCAGTCCGTCTACAGTGTATAGATGGCATGCTCGTTTTAAAGAAGGAAGAAACCCTCCATACAGCCCGGACCTCTCTCCGATGGACTTCCGTGTGTTCCCGGAGCTCAAATGATAGCTGCGCCGAAAACGCTTTGACTCAGCTGACGACCTTTTAAGAATACGCAAGCTATAGTCTCGTCCTTTACCGATAGGTGATACGTGGAAACATACAATAAGTGGATCAGCCGACACAGGAAATGCATCGAAATTGCAGGTGACGACGTTGAAAAGGTGCGACGATCGATGGACTTTAACGTCGCATAACGTTGCAAATGACGTCGGCGTGCTCCGGGCGTTTGTTATATGGTTATTTACTATTTTTATCATGTTTTAGTTTCTGTGTGTATGATGATGATATTTTCAGATACTGTACAGTATATATTGAAATAAATGCGTATATATATATATTTACGCTAACCCGACTACAACGTGTGCTATAAAACAATTCTCAGAACTTCCCGAACAACCCTCGTACATATCTAGATGACAATAGTAAACATACAAAATAATTTATTGAGTGTTCTAGTCAAATATGAGTATTTCACATAACATATCACAATTTAAATACAAAAGATGATTGATATAGCGAAGTAACAGTTACTATTCTCTGTGTGTAACAATTAATGTACCTGCAACAATTTCAAGACCGATACTATTTTCAGTATTAACTGACTCACTAATTTCCAGACTGAATCAGTATCTTAATTCAATGCAAAAGAAAAGCTACCTCATATTTCTAAAACTGATAATGGAAGGTTTCAACAATGGACAAGTCCATTTCAGAAATTCTGCAGGTTAAAGGGTTAAATATTTCTCAAGCATTTGGACAATATAGAAACTAATCAAATGCATCAATATCTAGATTATTTTTGAATTTTGGCACCTTTATCAAGAATGATTCAATTAAATATAAAAATAGTCTGTTAAATCAAATTCAAATGGATCTTGACTGTTTTCTTAATGAAATATGTACTTATTGTAATGGACCTGCCCTGTTTTGAATTTGAAAAAAGTCCATTTGAAACTAAAGGTATTGCATTTTCAACAAAAATATCAAAATTAAGCTGGTCAAAAAAATATAAAAGGGTGGTCAGACTATACAGATTAGCAGTCTTGTTTAACCGTACACTGACGGCTAAGATGAGCCTATGTTGTAACTATAGCAACTAGAATTTTCAAGGGGATGGTCCTTCTATATGGCATTTGTAAACAGCAACTTCCTCCCCGTTATTTAGAATGGGTTGATTCGATAGCCAGTACCTAGAGGAGAAAATGGATTGACCTTCGCCCACATGAGGGCCTCGTTTGCCGAAACTGCAGATTTTCCGTCCTCCAGAAAATAGGCTAGGCCCTGAAGAATAGGTAAAAGGTTAAATCCTTTTGCATAATATGTCATAAATTAACAAAATATCAATAGAGATAATATATCTAAACAGCATGATGATAATAAGAAAAATTTGCTGTGAATAATATAAATCTTATACAAATAGATCAAAGGTCAAGAGTGGGTCAAAGTCTTTAGTCTACCCCTGTCTGCTGAAATTTCTAACATGGCTTTTTCCATTTTGAATTAGAACTGCAATTTTAGGGATTTCATTATCATAGCACTAAAGTCAATTAATTAACTCTGGTCATACTGTAGAGATCTGCCATCTGGCTTAGCTCCATTACAGTAGCATATACCTTGCATAACTGAGGGGATTACAAAGAAAGGTTTTAGCTGAAGTAATGGTTAAAGAACCTTAAACTTGTTTTAGAAATTATCCCATTTTCTTATTTTAAAAAACTTGTAGGTTTTTACTTAAGACAGATTGTTCTGTAACATATAGTAAATTAAAATAAATAATAACTTTGGTGGCAGAAATACACTTTTCCATTTTTTTCTTAATTAAATTCAGTGTGTTTACAACAGTTGCAGACAGACTGGTTTACCTGTATTCTCTCTCCAGTAAGACATGAGATATGTATATCAGAATGGGATGGAAGATGAGTATTTGAGACACAGTCTGAGCCCACTAAAATTTTGTTGGGTTCTTCTCCCAGTCTTTGCTGTAATTTCACATAGACTGGTTTATATTCTGCAGGTATTATGTCAACATTGACTGGTTCCCTGAAATAGGACAAAAGAAAGAATATTTAGCTTATGACCAAACATTGTGAAAGATAAACACCTTGTATATCACAGAGTAAATGCTGATTAATTTATACAGAATTTATTGTAGTTTGATTTTGTTAGAAACTATATGCTTATTGAAAAACTCTTGAAACTGTCCTTGAACGAACCAGTACTAAGCCATGAATGTTTTATTTCCTTTTAAAGGGAACAACGTTTATCCTCTGACCAGTTTGAACCTATGCCACCTTCAATCCTTTATTTACTAGTCTGATATATTAATGACTCTGTGCCATGCTGTCATTGTCTATGGGTCACTTTAAATTTGAAGAGGGATATGGTAAGTTACTATCCAATAGATTCACCCTGAATAGTAGTTAGCATGAAACTTAAAAAGTTAATTGGTATAACTGACTTATACTACTGTAAAATCATTATTATTCGTGGGGCACGAATTTTCGTGGTTTTCGTGGGTAGGTCAATCCACGAATTTAAGATCCCACAAACTTTTATCCCAACAAATACTTCTTACCCAGTCTTTGTTCTATATATTACAAACATGCGTCGGCTCTTTTCCGGCCGATATTTCGTGAAATAGATGTATATACAGACAGATAATCAGGTTAGTGACATATTAAATCCGTGAAAGAAAACTCGATTATATGTCCCCAATTTACTGTCACAAATGTCGCATATAGGTACTTGATCGTTGTAGTCTACTAGGACTTGATTGTGTCAACAAGAATACTTGACATAATCGAGTAAATATGGGAACTCAGGCAGTGCAATAATTAGCGCTAATAAAAATTGTCAGTTTGCTCTTATTTATTAAAAAAAATTCTTTGATATTAATGTTGTAAGTACACAAAACTGTAAAAAAAATACGATCGCTGAAAACAGATTTATTGTACATTCTTTTGTCGTTTTAAATGATCCAGTTTATATGAATTTTAATCTGTATTTGTGTGAATGCTATTCCGTCAACATCAAAGACGCCACCGACTTTTACAAGGTATACAAGATCCACACATACTCGTGTTATTTACCGAGATTAATTTATATGCATGTAAATTTACACAGTCGTTGTGACGTTGCGTGTAGTTACTGTCAAATATGTTAAGACCAATTCAAGGTGTAAACTTTTAAACTCGCTGGTTAAAACCTGTCAGGTGTCGTATAAATTATCCGATGTTTACATCGGCGAATTACAGGGGCAGTGTGTATATTATGTCACATAAATGTGTTAATTGCAGTCAATTATCGGCAGTAAGTGTGCTATATTAGTTATGCCCAGAGGCAAGGATTAAATTTATTGACAAGTGCTGTGTGACAAGTAAAGATATGTACATGTTGTCATGTTGTAAGTAAAAACGTTCGGCGATTAAGTTTAAGATTATTTTGCATTAGGTTACTAAATTTTTTTTAACAAGAAAACGAAAATCCACGAAATTTAAGAACCCCTGAAAATGCCCTTTTTGATAAAACCACGAAATTTCATGCCCACGAATTTAAGTGAATTCGCAGTATAAATTGATATGTCTTTGTTTTGTTGGATTTCAAGTACCAACAATGTAGAGGTAATACCATGACTTCCAGCTTTACTGCTGAAATAACAGACATAATGTGCTCCATCATGCATTATTTCAGGCCTAAGTAGAAATATTGACCTTCTGTGAGGTAGTAGTTGACTATAACTTACTGTGGTTGTGCAGTATGAACAACATTCCAAGCTGTACACTGTGACTGTATAGCCGATTCTGACACACCAAAATCTATAAAACTTTCGTTACAGATAAGTTGCCTGCATCAAATATAATAAAAATAAAATAACTGCTTTTTCAGCCAAACATGAATTATCACTAAACATAATGACAAAAGCTTTTCATTGAACCACATAACATGTATTACTTAGAATGAAAAACAATTTCACTATTCTATAATTTGGTATATTTCTAACAAAATATTAAATCATGTTTATTAAAGACTTATTTTTCAGTTATGACACTCACACGACAAAAATATAGTAAATTGTCCATTTTTTTATGATAAAAGATTGTCCCTATTTTTCCAATCAATGCAATCAAAATCCTATAAAACTATTTTTTTGTTAGGTTCTACATCACACCAACACAGTATAGATCAGACAGCGACTTTCCAGCTTTACTGGTGGAGGAAAACCTCAGGTGCTTCTCTGCACATTATTTCAGGCATAAACCGGCAGCTGAGTAGAACCACTATAAGCTAGCTGGATTTTAAGCTTTCTCACATGTAAGAATCCAAAGAAATTCAAAAAGTTGACTTTTTTACAAAATAATACATGTCTATATTTTGTTTATATACTACCTTGAATGTTGGAATAGAGGTTGAACAATGCTATAATAGCCCCGTCTTATAGCAACCAGAGCACCAATGTAAGCACAAACTGCCAGCAATTCTCCCTTCTTTCTGTCGTAAAAAAAGAATTCCCAAATCATGTTACTGTATTCTACATAATGTAAGAAATAATATTTGTTTGAAAAATGTAATGGGTTTGTATTCTAATATAACAAGGTATCAGTCTCAAGTTTGCTGGAAGATGGCAAGTTAACAAGTAAAGCCCTAAAATAATAGATAACAAGAGGGCCATGATGGCCCTGAGGTCGCTCACCTGTATATAGGCCCCCCCCCCCCCAATGTTGCAGGGCCAATTTAACCCAAGGGCTTTTATTTGCACAAACTTGGTAGACACCCATAAGAAGATGTTTCATGCTAAACATCTAAGCTCTAGCTCATTGGGCTTTTTAAAAGAAGATTTTTTTAAGTTTTTACTATACACATATAGTTAAAAACAATGACACCCCTGGGGCCGGGCCAGTTTTGACCCCAGGGCTTTTATTTTAACAAACTTTGTAGACACTTACTAGAAGATGTTTCATGCTTAATATCTAAACTCTAGCTATTTGGGTTTTTTCAAAGAAGATTTTAAGTTTTTGCTATACACATATAAAGAAAATCAATGACCCCCAGGGCGGGGCCAATTTTGACCCCAGGTCTTTTATTTGAACAAACTTTGTAGACACTCACTAAAAGATGTTTCATGCTTAATATCTTAACTCTAGCTATTTGGGTTTTTTCAAAGAAGATTTTTTAAGTTTTTGCTATACACATATAAGGAAAATCAATGACCCCCGGGGCGGTGCCAATTTTGACCCCAGGGCTTTTATTTGAACAAACTTGGTAGACACCTATTAGAACATGTTTGATGCTAAATATCTTAGCCATAGCTCTTTGAGTTCTTTAAAAGAAGATTTTTTAAGTTTTTACTATATGCATATAGGGAAAATCAATGACCCCCCGGGGCGGGGCCAATTTTGACCCCAGGGCTTTTATTTGAACAAACTTGGTAGACACTTATAAGAACATGTTTCATGCTAAATATCTTAGCTCTAACTCTTTTGGTTCTTTAAAAGAAGATTTTTTAAGTTTTTATTATATGCATATAGGGAAAATCAATGACCCCTGGGGCGTGGCCAATTTTGACCCCAGGGCTTTTATTTGAACAAACTTGGTAGACACCTATTAGAACATGTTTCATGCTCAATATCTTAGCCATAGCTCTTTGAGTTCTTTAAAAGAAGATTTTTTAAGTTTTTACTATATGCATATAGGGAAAATCAATGACCCCCCGGGGCAGGGCCAATTTTGACCCCAGGGCTTTTATTTGAACAAACTTGGTAGACACCCATTAGAACATGTTTCATGCTAAATATCTTAGCTCTAGCTCTTTGGGTTCTTTAAAAGAAGATTTTTTAAGTTTTTACTATATGCATATAGAGAAAATCAATGACCCCCCGGGGCGGAGCCAATTTTGACCCCAGGGCTTTTATTTGAACAAACTTGGTAGACACTCACTAGAAGATGTTTCATGCCAAATATCTAAGCTCTAGCTCTTATGGTTTTTTAAAAAAAGATATTTAAAGTTTTTTCTTTCGGTTGCCATGGCAACCAGAGTTCTGCATGGAATTAAATTCTTTGAACAATTTTTAAAGGTGACCACCAAAGGAACATTCCTGTGAAGTTTGGATGAAATTGGCTCAGTGGTTTATGAGGAGATGTCATTTAAAGTAAAAGTTTACGGACGGACGACGGACGACAGACGGACGATGGACGGACGCAGGACGGACGCCGGACGAAAAGCGATCACAAAAGCTCACCCTGTCACTTTGTGACAGGTGAGCTAAAAATGAAAACAGAAACTCATTTAAAAAGTAAATTTGTTCATTAAATTTTTTTTTGTATAGGGATTTTTAAGACCATATTAAATGTATTTGCATGTAAATACATTAACCTACTTCAACTATAATATTACATGTATATAAATCTCATGAAAAGATAATCAAATGATAATCGAAAGTCAGCACTGATTATCCCCTAATTTGAAAATAATGTTACTATATATATTGCTTTACATACAAGCGTATGATCATTTTAATATTTTGCCAAGTATCTTATATGTATGATTATAGTAATGGTTGACAAACCTATGAATTTGTAGGGCATCTGTCCGAACACTGCCAAGCTGTTGTAACATAAAGAACACATCATCTACTGTCCAGTCAGATGTCTTCAGAGTATCTGAATTGAAAACAACAACACAATATGCATAACTAATTAAAACAAGTGCTCAAATATTGCTTCCTTAAACCCAGATGTATCATTGCAAAGCAAATTTATTACACAAAATAAAAAGTAATTTCTAACTATTGTGTCATAATGACACTCCTTGGCAAAAATTACATAATCATTGCAGTAGTTTTCTATTGGTTACGGTGTCTGTCAATTAAGGGATCTTGGTTTAAAACCTTATGACAGCCATGACCATGTTTCCTGATATAACAACAGTACTGGGAACTCTTAGGCTTTGTTCCAAGAAGCAGACTTGAGAGCAAATCAAATTAGGTACACAAGTGACATGTATATGCTTTCTTCACAGCAAAGCTTACATAAATAATATCTATTACGACTAGTAGCACTAAACAACAACAACAACAAAGAACAATTTTTACAGGATATCAAACAGCAGATTAATAAGCCTACTTACTTTAAAAGGAATAAATTAAAAAGTACACAATATGCATAACAAGTCTACCAAGACCAATTTTTAAGTCTAGACAGTGCACAGTCCATTTTATTACTTATTTTCAGACCAAACTTTACTTGGTACAAAAAAACACGTAACAATGAAGATGTTTTACGAAAGACAGTTTAAGCACAATCTAATACTGCCATTTTTCAAAAGGTGTAAATAATTATATGTAATATCATATGGTCTCATAATGATCTCATCCAAGTGAAACTTTTGTTCCAATTACAAAAGTTAGTCCAGCAAAACATAGACCAGACAGTTGACTTACACAAGTTTTTATTCCCTCTTATGTCTAGGAAAAGTGCAAAATGCTAAAACTTAAAATTGTGAAAAAATGTTTTATAGTAATTTTTCATCTATTCAATACTGCTTACTTTTTACATAATCCAGACCAAGGTCTATACCAATCTCTGGTGAGGCTGATAGAAGATAGAACAGAACACATTCAAATGTATCATTTCTACGCTTTAACTTCTCCGCTTCATTAAAACAGTCAGCCACTGAAGGCAAGTGTGCCTGAAAATGATAAAATTTTGTATCAAAATTTTGACAGATATTAGTAAAGTACAGATATAATTCTGAGAAAATAAAACAACTATCAAATGTACATATATAACATATATAGAGTAAATCTAGTTATGGGGCCACAATTTTTTGCACGACCTTTTGTTTTGAGCCACTGATTTTAATTATCCATATCATTTTCCAACCATATATTTAATGTATTAAGCAAACTCTGCTCAACATGACCAGTGACTGATAACAGCACTGAAAATTTGACATTCATAACCTTATCAATAAGAGACCATTTTTGCAAACAATTATGATCTGAAAGAAATGTATCCTTATGGGAACACAACATTTCTATAATATCTAACAAGTTAAAACAAAACACAATGAAAAAACATTAATTTAGTTTTTCTTCCAAGATGCTTGAATAAATTCTATACTATTTGATGCTTGATTTTAGCTTTTTGGTGTAAAAATCAGTTATTTCTACCCCTTAACCCATTGATTTCATTAAATGGAATAACCCAGCTTCCATTTTTGGGACTGCCCATTATTAAGATGGGGATATCAAGATCAAATGTCATCCTACAGTATAAGAGCTTCTCAGACTATACAGATGTGCAGGCTGGCCTGGCTCTATAGTGCTGCAAAGACATATTATATTCTTAAACAAGGCAAGTTTATTGTACAAATCAGGTGGGGTAATGGTATAAAACTTACTTTTTTATGTAAGGCGTTTATTTCATCTATGGAAAGAGCACATCTTGAGCAACATCTTGCTAACAATGTCTTGTTATCTGGTACCTGATGTAACAAATCAACAGCTAATTCCCTGAAACATAACAAAACACAAAACCATTACAAGAATGTTTTACAAATCTTCACATCAAATTTAACTGTAAACATCTTGTTTAATGCATGCTTTCATTTAAACATCCTAAAATAATCAATATTTGGGTACAGGTGGCCTTTTCGTCGAGGTGTCTGCTCTAAGTTCAGGGATCATGGGTTTAAGCCCTACGGGGTCATGATCATGTTTCCTCATATGACACCAGTACTAGTTAGATCCAGAAAATTTTCATTATGTTGTTTATAGAAATGTAAGAGAAACACTCTACACTGCATATATTTCATTGGGAGTTCTAACTACATACAGGTACAGTATATGATATCATGGTATTCTAGCTTTGATATAAAAAAAAGACCAAACTAGCCCCTCCATCTAAACCTGCAATATGTGTGATGGGTTAACTGCTGTCTTATATAACTTTCTGTTCCATCAAGATGAGAACTAACACAATTTCAATCACAGAAAGGCACCTAATATAGTACATCCAACAACCATCTGTTAGCCATTTTGATGGCTACTTTACATTAAATTATTCATTTGAACTACAGCTACAAAAACTTTTTCTAAAAAGGATTATTTTCATTCTTATTACATACATCAGTCAGCTGTAATATACTAAATAGATATTTACCATTTTCCAAGTCGTTCACATCTCCTTGACAACATCTCTATAGCAACAGAGGTATATTCTTGAAGGTTACCAATTACAGTTCCCGTAGCAACAGCCAACTCCAACTCATTGCCTTGTATCAGTTTTCCCAAAGCTTTCTGAAGACAGAATTGTACTAACTTAAAGTATATTTATAGTTCCTGTAATAAACTCGAATAATAAAAATTCAAAGGGCAACTTTAAAAGTAGCCCACATCTTAGCTCAATCATAGCTCGACATAGTGGGTTCAATTCCCGGGCTGGCCAATTAAAATAACTAATCAGTCTTTTGGAAGAGACTTTAAATCAAGGTTCGGTGTATGAATGCTTTAACACCTGGCACGTTAAAGACCCAGTGGAAGCATCTGGAATTAAAGCACAGTACAGGTCATATGGCAAATTCAAGCTTTACTGGTGGAGGAAGACCTTAGGTCTTCCGTGCATTATTTAAGGCATGAACGGGCACCTGATTTGAACCACCAAGCTAGCTGGATAGCTTACTCACATGAAAGAATCCAAAGTTCTGGAGGACTCCTCCATATTGGAAACAGGTGGCAAGTATAAATAAACTCAAAAACACACATGCCAGTTCAGCCTGCATGTCAATGCAGTTTGACCAGGATTTACGATGTTGACAGATCAATTTTCGTCCTTTGATATTAACATCCCTAAATCTTTTTATGGAATGTCACAATTTATAGCTGGGCTAATCTATAATCTGAATTCCGCAGGTTACGGGTTAGCTGTTACTAGTATGATCAGAAAATGATTAGAAAAAAGGTCCATGAACACATGAAAACAATATGGAGTTCTCAATTTATCAATATTTCAAAGAAAAAAATGGTACAAATTTATTGATAATTAAGATTTAATAATGATGACACTGACACACTTGTGTGTTTTGTTTGGCAGATAACGTATTACGATTATTTGATTATAACACCAAGATTTGTTATACAGCTGACTTTAACAGCAGAACTCTTTTACCTTTGACCTCTTTACATAACTGTTACTTTTGAGATAGATAGAGATGTAGGACTTCAAACACAATCTAATGAAAATTATAATGAATAAAAAATTTGTACAATAAAAGGATAAGCAAACAGCCATCTTGGCAGCTATGATTAAGTCAAAATCTGTTATTTGGTCTGACAAAACATATACATTACTCTACGAGCGTGTAGATTAGTAAAAATTATAAAAAAAAAGTTAAAGAAAAAAGTAGAAGAAATAACAAACCTGAACATTATCTACAGCAAGAAAACAGCAAGCAGCAAGGATAGGTGATCCATGCCACAAGTGCCATGCTGCCCAATCTTCGACCGTCTGCTGCAGTAATCTAAATAGAGAGACAAGCTGGTGAATAGTATATAAATAGGAAACTGCTAGTGGAGGTGTTTCATTAGGCTGACCACCATTAAAATATTGTTTGTTCACCACCCTACCTACCCACAAAAGTTTGTAAAAATAATACTCGCATTATCTTTTACTAATACTAAAATACTATACATTGGGAAAAGGGGTGGTATAGAAGCAGTAAACAATATTTTACTTGAGGCCTAGCAAGATTAAAAAATGTAAACAACAAGCATAAGTCATCTGTGCATATTCTGAAAGGGAAAACTACTAGAAGAAAAAAAAAAGGGTGTCCGTGACCGAGTGGATTGTTAATATGGCAAGCTTTAAGTATAGTGTATCCATAGTAGCAAGCAGTTTAAAGGCAATAAAGCTATATCTAACAAATTATATTTTAATAGATAAAATTATGTCCTTTCCATAACATTATGTTAGATTCTTGAAACAGTTACTAAGTATAACATAGAATGTCTTAAATGTACACAAGCATATTGTTCAAAACAGGAACAAAATCATTATGCTGCTACATTTATCCTAATAAGGGTTTTAACCATTTAGCAATTATTCCGTGCAAATGTCATATTAGCTCTTAAAGAAATATACAAACAAGTTTTCTTCAAAAGATATTTTGAATGTATTCTTTTTAACAAGATACACATAATAATTTGGTAAAATACAGACAGCAGAAATATAGCTTTATAGTCATGTTAAGAAGTTGATTTTTGCATAAAGAAAGAAATAAGTGGTACACAATTCAAGCAAAATGTGAAAAACCTTATGAAAAATTAATTACCAAAAAAAAAACCAATTTAAAAGCATTATTTGTTCTAAAATCTGCAGTTCCAACTTACTGTATTTGCTTTTCGGACGGTTCCCCATACCCATTGCTGGTTCCCATCTGATTATGAGCATCACTATTGCTGGGAATCAGTCCTTCACAAGCCACCTGTGCTGTGAGGACGGCATCTGACATTTGACCTCTTGATGCATAAAAATCTACCAACATTTCAGTGTCACCTACAGCTGTACAAAATACTGCAGCACAATCTTTGTCCTCTCTCATTAAAAACCTAGAATATCTTAAAATAGATTTGCTGATGATAAATAAAGCCCAAAATTAATTCTATTTAATATTTTCACAAGATGACATATTTATATTTAAGGTGATAGCATTACTCAATAGGTAATCAATACATATCACAATATCATGGATATAGTATATGGCTATACGAAACTGACTGTCTTTCTTCTTCTGGCAATGTCTGAAAGTTGATAAGAATATGTACAACACCCCAAAATATAATATGCTTTTATATTTTCTAAATGCTTACCATCAGTCTTATGATTACTATAATTATTGTCATCGCACCAACACAGTAAAAATGATAAGGCAACTTTCCAGCTTAACTGGTTGAAGAAGACCTCAGGTGCACCTTCATGCTTTATTTCAGGCACATACAGGCATCAAGTAGAACCACCTGGTTCCATATGAAAGCTGGTAAGCTTCTTCAAAATGAAAGACTACAAAGTTTCAGGCTGGATTTCAAAACAACAGGTTGCAATAAGGGGCAAGCAGTTTTATGTCAACAACCTTAACCCGTCAGCCACAGACATTCCCTCCTTTTAATCATTATCCAAAAGAAAATTGAGCCGCGTCACGACAAAACCAACGTAACGGTTTCAGACCAGCAGGGATCCAGACCAGCCTGCGCATCGGCGCAGACTGATCAGGATCCATGCTGTTTGCTTACAAACCCTATTACAACTAGAGAAACTGATAGCGAACAGCATGGATCCAGACTGCGCGGATGCGTAGGCTGGTCTGGATCCATGCTGGTCGCAAATGCATTACGTTGGTTTTGTCGTGACGCGGCTCAAATTATGATTTACCAAGAAAAGCTGATAAACCTTTGACCTACATGTCATGCTTTGAAATAAGAACTGGTGTTTCAAACTTCACCTTCACCTTATTTTGAGCACTGCTTGAATTTAACACTTACTCTGCCTGAACCAAAGATGATTAGTCTTTGCCACCAGTATATAGCCAGGCCAGCTGTGCAGTCTGACACAGTGACAGCTATATAGTGTTGTTACATATATCTCAATTTTTGTATTTTGATATTGAAATCCCTTAAAATTTGAATGGACAATTCTACAATTCAAAGCAGGGCAAGTCCATTATGCAAATTCATCTGGTTAAGGGTTTAAACTAGAAATGTGTCCATAGGACACAGTTGCCCCCACACACCACTGTTCTGTCAATCTTATGACTCTAGGTCAATTATTTTTTGGACTACATGTGCCACAAGTTGAAAACTAAAAATCAACAAAGGGCCATAATTCTGTTTAATTTGGTCGCAGCAAAAATTCCTTCCTTTACTACCGTCTACACATTAAGGTTGTTAATCCCTGGAAGTTTAAGCAAAGTCTGCCATCAGGCTTAAGAGGAGTTGCGTTCACAAAATTTCTACATAGTATATTGTGAAAAAGGTTGTTCATCCCTGGAAGTTTAAGCAAAATCTGCCATCCAATTTAAGAGGAGTTGCGTTCACAAGATTTCGGGACGGACAGACAAGTGCATGCAACGCTATATGCTCCCACATTGTGGGGGCATAAAAAACCTGTTTTATCTGTTGTACCTGTTTGCTAGATCTTTCCAGTAAGCGTGAGAGACTCCTGGTGCCACTGCCAGCGCCCTCTCCCATTCCCCTAGCTCCACCTTTAACTCACAGTATCTACGGATATTGCCAGTTTTTAGATGTAACTCTGCTGCTTCTTTCATCCTGTCCTCCTTGTTTCTAGCACCAGTTCCTCCACTATTCTTTAACTTTGCCATCTCAAGCTGTTGAGCCTCTGACTTTAAAATAAGTATTGAATATAAGTCAGTACAACACAAATGTACCTATGAAATTATGTAGTTTTTTGTTTGATTTTCTGTTGGTTTTTAATACAAACAAAATATTTGTATTTGGTATAAGTACCCAATGTGATAAATGGGGCAAAAGGAGAAAATTATGCATAGAAATAAAATACAAATGCAAGTAAAGAAGGTAGAATGTGGCTATTTGGCCAAAAGATGTATGATTGGGACAATTTCAAAACATGAGTTATTCAATTGCTGAAAATTAATTAACATTCAATCCTAGATTTCTGCCTTAAAGCTGCATGCCTCCAGATGAGTCGAAATATATCAATAAAATCAAACTTGAGAAAAAAGTACTACAATTTTAGGAAACGTAAAATGGTTTGAGATTCAAGTAATATTCTGTTATGTGCGGTTAATGACTGATTTTTTAGTATTTAGAACTATATTTCTACTGTGTCACTAACGCAGTAAGGGCTATTTATGCATATTTTGACTACTTTTTGGTAATTTACAAGGCTTGTAAGTGCCATTGATAATGTGTAAATGGCTTCCTTTTGGTTATCTCACATTATTATACATTCAAATACATTTTCAAAATTTTCATGAAAATTAGCATGAATTTGCAGGCGTGCTGCTTTAAAAATTATTTTATTTTATGCTTTTCAGTGGATTACTGATTTATCCGTGAAAATTATATTTGATAATTTCACAGTGAAAATTATCAAAATATAATTTCACTTTTTTCAATGACGAAACTACTTTTTTAAGATTTTCCCCATGTGGTACCTCAATTTTATTTTTACTGACAATTCTGACAATATCAGGCTGTTAAAAAAAATAGCAAAGCTGAAATAGATAAATAACTTAAATGTCAAAAGTAATAAAGAGAGAAAACTTACTTCTATTCCTTCAAATTCCAATCACAAAATTTCGTCTCTAAATTTTTTTGTTTCGTTTTTACAGTCTGAAAAATACATTCCTTCCCCATGCTAAACTGCTCTTGATGACATTTGGGCATAGATCTATTAAAGTATCCTACGAGCAATAACTGCCGTATGCTTTATGAAAAACTGAAAAGCATTGACAGCCATCACTCGTAAAATAAGTAAAACAACCCAGCGTTCCTTACAATGCCTTAGCAAGCTTCCAAGTTTTCCATTTTCCTAGCTCCTTTTCTGAATGTTTTTGACTTCTGTCAACACTTATTTTTTGTCTGTTACAATCCTCAAATAAGTTTTCTTTCTTTTAAAAAGGTGTATTACTAACAAATCCAGGTCTAATATAAATTCGCAGTAAGTAACGGAAATGTGGATGGATGGTTGGACTTTTTCTCCTACAAGAATTGTTTGTTTTTATTATTAAAACAAGCGATCATTCATATTTTTTTAATAAAATGAATAAATATCACCGTCATTTAACCTTGATTGGCGGACTTATTTTTCAGCTCAAGACTTCTTGTTTTTAATGAGAAATTCCCTCTAAATGGGGCTCTCAATGGGGGAAACAGATTTTAATATTAACGTTAAAATTATGGAAATTTCGTTTATAACTTGTTTTAAGCATAAAATAAAAAGAAAAATTTGTCTGTTTGTTGTGTAAGATGTAATTTTATTTTTCATTCGTGCCACTTTTAA